AAAAAACACAAGTCAGATGTTATATCAAGGCCACGCACCACAGCAGTGCAGCCGTGAGGAGTATAGCTGGAGAATGGAGCGATATTCCTGATCTTAGGAGACCTGCAATGATGTAATTATAACAGTTACGCGTTGTATAATCCAATAAATATATAAAACACAGAAAATAACTCTAAGATAAGTGAGCCTATCTAGCTGTCATCTGCTCAGTTATCCTGTACATGAGCAAACAATTAATAAACTCAATATATATCTATTCTATTTTAGTATAAATCTACTAGCATGCTATCACGAATGCCGTTCTCTGATTGGCTATGCTGCTCACTATCTATCCTGTGATAGTGAATAGCGTAGCAGTGTGCTTTTGTTAACAAAATGACGGCCCCCTCTTGGCGTTTTTGAAGTGTCTGTGAAAAGGATTTAGATTAATTAAGTTTTGAACGACTAGTAGATTTATACTAAAAAAATTAGATTATTCGCTCTCGATTTCGATCGCGCGATAGAAATCTCGAGCTCATAATTAATTTTCTAATACTTCATCCTATTTTGGCATTCACTGTTTCGATAACATTCGACTATTTTTACTGCTAATTTTTGCAACAGACCCCTCATAGCAACTCTCCTATCTGTGCTTGTCTCACCTTCACTTGGTTGACACGTATAGTCCAACCCCAGAGAGAATCCTCTTCTGCACAGGCACTTTCCGTTTTCACAATAAGAGTTCTCATCACACTCCGGAGTGCAAATTTCTAGAGAGAATAGAGAATATAATTTATTTAGCCCATCATTTTAATTTCCTCCTCACAGAAAATGCACAGACGCTAGCAACGGACGGTATTGACACATTAGTCGAGAGAAATTGAGCAGGTAGAGGTTTGACTGTGCGAATTTATGTATAGTATCGAGTGATGCAACGAGGTTTTCATAACCTTTAAATTTTCTTCTCATCTCAAGCTGGACCCAATCAACCTCTTTACAAGCTATGCCAAGACCATCTGATTAGTATTTGAAATTTTAAACTAGATTACGACAACCGCGCCTCCGTTTGAAAATGAGTTCACATTAAAGTGAATTGCATTTGGCATGTTATTTGCTGAAGCAGAATAAAACAGACAGTTGGTCATCACACCATCCAGCCGGCCGCCGCCACTACAACTATTGTTCTTTCTAAACGCTTAGTTTAACTTAGGTTCAAGCAAAGTAAAATGAAGTATAATGTGTTACCTGAACATGTTCCTTGCGCGGTCTTTTCAAATCCATCTTTGCACGGGCAATCATAACCACCATTCTTGTTTTTACACCTTGAAAACTTCGGACAGGAATAAGTTTCTTCCTCGCATTCGTCAATATCTAAGGCAAACAACATAAATGCAACAGAAACCGTAATGAAGGGCTACTACTGTATGCCAAGCCAATAGACTCCTGTCGAGGTGTTTCCCATTTTCACAGTTTTTAAAAACATACCTAGAACCCCTGAAAAGTACCTAGAAAACAGTTTAGTAGTAATATATAGATCAAGCCAAACTTAAAAGCGGAGCTCGTTGTTACGCCGCAAAATGTAATAATCGCCACAGAATGTAATATCAACGCAAAATGTAATAAGAATCGCCGCAAAATGTAATAACATTGACGCAAAATGTAATAAAAAAGAAAACGCAAAATGTAATAACTTTTCAACGCAAAACGTAATAACTTTTCTAACGCATGTATTGTAATAAGGCAAAATGTAATAATTTTCGAACGACATGTACGATATCTTGAAACCAGTATTATGACTCGACCAACGTTATCCTAACATTAACGTAGGTAATACTGTGACATGTAGGTAAATTGAATATTTGGCTCAATTTGATGTACAGGTTTTGTTTCGAAAAAAAATGTGCGATAGCTTTCAGTTTGAAAGCTCTGTGGATCGGAATCAGGTGGAATATCAGGATGTAACCCCATCATACTTTCACAATCTTTAACTCCAGAGATAGTGTTTTGAATACGCACCAGGTTGTTGTTGAGGGGTGCGGTGATTGGAATATGTGGGTACAGTCAACTCAAAACTTAGAAAATTTTTACGCGGCGCTTATTCGAAACATATAATCTTTGGTGTTGAAGATTGTGAAAGTATGAAGGGGTTACAAGCGATGTACCAACTGATTCCGCCTGTACACCAAGTTGAACCAAATGGTAGGGTTCACCTACGTTAGGATAACGTTGGCCGAGTCATAATACTGGTTTCAAGATATCGTACATGTCGTTCGAGAGTTACATTTTGCGTTATTACAATATGCGTTAGAAAAGTTATTACATTTTGCTTTGAAAAGTCATTACATTTTACGTTGACCTTTTTATTACATTTTGCGTCAATGTTATTACATTTTGCGTTAGTATTACATTTTCCGGCAATTCTTATTACATTTTGTGTTAATATTACATTTTGTGGCGATTATAACATTGTGGCGTAACACTCGTGATTAAATAATTAACTGTAAATGAAAAAAAGAACATTTTTCCCTGGACCAGAAACTCAAAAAATAATCAATTGTAAGCATATGATTGTTCAGTTTGTGGTTTCACTCTTTTTTTCTAGTTACATTCTAACAAACCGTACCTAATGAGTGTACCCAAGAGAGTAGAGATTACGTACGCACCCAATATATCAGGAACTTTCCAAGAAACGATTGTGCAAGGAATATGTCGGAAGAAAAGTCAACAACGCGTCAGGGTTTAATTTGCGCCGATATTTAGCATTTGTATGTACTCCCTCCCTTTCCCCCAGATGAATAACCTCGGTTGAGTCCACGATCCAATTGAAAACCCAGTACCTGGTCAGCGGTCGACTTCAAAAAATACGTCACCTCGATGAGCTCTTCACCTAAGCCCGCGATATGGTCACGTGGTACTGGTCAGCGGATACATGAAGGTCCATTATCAAAGACGTACCTATGGTAATGGTGGTACTCTCTTATTTTTCAAGGTATGGGGCTTGGCGTACAGACGTACGTATGGACAGTTAAAACGAAAATGATGGTCAAAAATGACACCGATGTTTCTTGCTTTCTGTGACGAGCAGATGGTTTCATCAACGACAGAGATTTCTTGAAGGGTTGGTCTCGGTAGATGTTTTGCGGAGATCACTAGAAGTTCAGTCTTATCCTTGTTAAGTTTAAGACGATTAATCAACATCCAGTGATCAATCTCACTACACAGCGCTCGATGTTGGACACAGCTAAATCCTTATCACTGGGTATAGTTGGCTGAAAGGACAGATAAAGTTGTGAATCGTCAGCATAAAAATGATAACTCAAGTTGAATTTTTTTACAATGTCTGAAAGGGGTGAAGTGTAAATGATTACAACTAATGACAATCGTAGCACTGACAAGCCAACTGAAGGAATAAATTCAGTTGCTCAGTGTTCTTTACATGTTGCATTGAAGTCCTCACCATTGCCATTACTACTGCAAGGCTTTTCCTCGATAGTAAGCTTACTTAATGATCAAGTATAAAAGCTCAAGTGGAGATTGTTTCGACCAAAAAATTGTCACGAAAGCTCAGAGTCGTTACTGCAGTTTTAAATGCGGCCAAGTGTTGAATTACCCTGATATCCTTCAATTCGATCATTTTGAAATACTTTTTCGGCGATTTAAATACCGGAACAGCCATTCTTGATGTGTTGCAATTGTTGACTTCAAGTTCAGCCATGTCGCGATGAAGGTATTGATGAAGCAAATATGAAATTTCCCAGCAGCTTGATAGAGAACACGAGGCTCGTAACTGCACAATAACATTTGGAAAAGTCTCAAGAAATAGTTTGTTGGAGACTTTGGATACCTCGTCGTCTAGGGAAACGTAACAATCGCTTGCTGTAGCTTCGAACGTTTCCCGCAGAACCGCCATTACTCAGACGTCGCATCCTACTAGATCNGTGAGGATGTCATTATGCACGCGAATGAGAGCCGTTTCTGTGCTATGATACTGTTTGTAGGCAGACTGTAATGGCTCATTCAGGTTGTTGTTGTTAACATAGGAGATCAGTTGGTTAGCYACCAACTTCTCAATTGCTTTGCTGAGAAAAGTAAGATTCGAAACAGGGCGATAATTTGAAAACTGCGTGTGATCCAGAGAAGGCTTCTTAAGAAGAGGACGTAGCATAGCAACTTTTAATTGAGAGGGTTATTGTGGATTTTACTATATTTTTTGTGGAATACGTTGACGGGAGACGTCACAGGACTCAAAGGCTTTTGCTTTGATCTCATGTATAAAATGCTGCAGATTGTAATATACTACAAGTTTGACATGTTTGTCAGTGATGCCATGTTCTTTGTTTGCGCTGGTTGGTCTAACCGGTTTGACAGCTTTTTCAATTGAATTAATGTTTTCACATGAATTATCCACGACAACAGAGTCAATTATATAGAAACAATGACGGAAAAAAGCCCTGACCGGTGCTTACCATACTACTCAGTTTAGTTTGTCAATTTTTTTTGTTTATGCCGGTTGGTTTAACCGGTTGGACAGGTTTTTCAAGTGAATTAACATTGTCACAAGAATTATCCACGACAATTAGTAAATTATATAGAAACAGTGACGGAAATAAGTCCTCACCGTTGCTTACTATACTACTCAGTTTAGCTCTTTCTCTTTCACATGATGACTATCCTTTGATAATTACCTATACAGCTCAGTTGGGTTTTTTTTGAGCGATATCCTTGGCGACAACTGCAAGAATACGATCCCACTGAGTTCATACAGAGCATGTTCTGGTCACATGAGCCGTTGAACGCACACTCGTCAATATCTGCATTACAAGAAAAAAGAAATGTTAGAGATAAAAATAAGAAACCATCAGCCTTGGATGACTAAGGACGTTAGTGTTATTAGCTGGAGTAGACGGATGAAGCTGTTAATAACTTGGCGACTGTGATTATTCTGAAATAGTATATCTTTGTAAATTGTTGTAAAGACAATATAACTGATAATTCACAATTTTAGTTTGAGCTCGGTCATGGACTCATCATTTCGTTACAAAAACTTTGCACTCAGATTTTCTTGCACCACCGGCCTTTGGCACTTCCATGGATTTCTTTCTATTGAGCATCTTCCCTGGCCATTTTTCTTTGATCGGAAATGCGATCGACACGAGAAACGTTGTAGCTATGTGACCACGCTCTTTATATGACAAAATATCCAGAATTTTAAGACTTGGTACAAAAATTAGCACGATTTACTATGATTGTAATAATTTAAGAATCTGATCTGCGCCAGTTAATTTTTGTACGGACTAGTGTGTTACACTTGCCATAACATTCCTTCTCTCTGCCATCGAAGGTAAAACCGGCTTTTGGGCAAATACACTGGAATGATCCTATGGTATTGTTACACACTGCCTCGCCTCCACAACGCTGCCTCTTTCCGCTGCATTCATCAGTATCTGTAGAAATAAATTGATCTTGATGTAACACGCTCTATGATAGGTTAATTAGCTGACAAAATGTCTGTTTCCGTGACATTAACACACTAGGAGGGTCTGAATACGTTGGCATTTTAGAACAACTTAAGGAAAGAAGTTAGTTACTTTTGTTGTATCTGCTCGTTGAAAATCTCCCCGGCGGGGGAAGGGGGGGACTCCCATATAAAAAGGACGGGGTGCTCGGGCGAAATTTTGAAAAGAACTCCTAAGAGGTACCTTACCTTAACCTTAAGCTTTGTGGGCGCGGCTTGAAATGTTTTTCACCCCTAACAAGGGGTACCAATTCTAAACAACACATTATATCCTGTCCTATTTGTTTGACTCAATAACCTAAAAGGCACAGTGAAAACTCCCGCTGTGGACCTGCTCCCTAAGACATACCAAAGCCGCGTTTTTAGCCCCCCTTAAAGGAACGACGAACCCCCCCTTTTTTTTTCAAATGGGAGTCCCTCCCGGGGATATTTCTAGCACAATTAGGGATTACGAGGCTGAAACTATCTATAGAAATGTTTTCGGTAAGAAAATTACTCTCGTAAAAGAAAGTTAATGGTTACAAATGCATTGTGAATTGTCTTATTCTAGGAACTGAACAAAGACATTTCCACCAAGACTAACTATAAAACAACTTAAGACAACAACTCAGGGTTTGGAGCTTTAGCGACCATTTATTAACATCAACATAGTCTAATCTTTAGAAATTAAAACAAAACATGAAATTAGTTAAATATCCACTAAATCCGACAACACAGACACTCACCATAGCAGTTCTTTCCATCATTATCTTTACTCTCGTAACCATCAATACAGTTGCACTTGAATGATCCGATCGTGTTGGTGCACGCTGAGTTTAAACCGCAGATTTTTTTATCTAATTCGCATTCATTCTTATCTGTATCGAAACAAAGCCGATGCTTTAGTTAATAAATTCATGGTAGGAATCTAGTGCTATTTCGTTTTTTGTCCTTATTACATCAGTTTTGGCCATTTGCTGACATAATTCCAGGAGGGCCGCTTTTGAATGGTATTACGTCATTGACACGATGTGAATTCGCAGTGTGCCACGTGACCACTCCGTAGATAATAATTTTCTAATCGTTTTCATGGCGATACGAGAACCCCCTAATAAAACGTCAATGCTAAACAACATTGAAAATTTGACATTTTGTATGCTTAAATTAAGCGGAATGTATTTTCAAGTCCTAGCCTTTACTTGGCCCTGTATAGGCATGATCTTACCGTTAACTTTTCCATCAGTACAATAAAGATAATTAACGCCTACTCACCGACACATTGCTTGGCCTTGAAATGAAATCCCTCCGTGCAGTCACACAGATGTGTCCCTTTGAAGTCTTTGCAAAATTGGTTCTGCTTGCAGTCTTTGTCATCTGAGCATGTTTCTAAGCCTTTTTAAACATTAGAAAAAAAATAGTTTTAGCATATTGCCCAGACCCGTTTTACGTTTTGATGTTAACTAGAGAATTTTAATTTTATTCCACTAGAAATTATACATCATCAAATCAAAGAGCAAATACGCCAAAGGCAATATGTAGATTACTTGCTCAAGCTGCAGAACGGAATCTATACACAGCTTCATCCAGTAGCGTACAAAGAAATAGGAAATCAATCACCAACTATTTTATAAACTGTATTGACTTTGTGGTTTCTGTCTAATTCACCTCCTTAAGAACAGTGAACTTAACTTACGAAAGCAAAATGTCCGACCATCTCCACCGTATCCATGGTTACACGTACACTTGTAAGAACCAATTCCGTTGGAGCACGAGGCTTTCTCGTGACACGCCTTGCTATTACTTGAGCACTCATCAATATCTGATGTATAACATAACGAGAAATTTGTTATTAAAATACCCGTCATCATTTAATTACACAGCCCCTGTATCACCCATAAATGTAATAAAAACCATAAATGTAATACCAACCATAAATGTAATAAAAATTAACCATAAATGTAATACTAAC